CCGCCATTTGTAATCTACAAAAACACTAGTGGAAATTTGCAACTGGGCAAGGCCCCGTGGTTTTTCCTATTTTTGGGTTTTCCACGTAAAAACTCTTGGTGTTCATTCATTCTTTCTGTTTGTGTGTTAAACTTACGTGCAACGCTCGGACGCGAATTTACAAACTCTACCGCCGCGTATTTTCTAACACGCAACAAAGTGAATAAATAAAAATTGAAAAATTAATATTTGTGATTTTTTTAATGTCAACATGATGTAAATCTTTGTCAATCACTTGTGATTAAGCTATAATATAAGCCTAAACTTTTGGGTGGTAAAGCATCTGTTATTTTATTTTAGGAAGATTTACATACATACCACCTAATACTATTCTATTTACATATTTAACACCTAAAACTTTAATATTACATATATACCACCCATAGTTCATTTTCATGTCAAATATGAGTGGTAGAAATGAAATATATGAGTGGTAGGAAAGAAATATAAGTGGTATATTTGATATTAAAATAATATAGGGTAGTATGCATGTAATATTAAAATTTTGAGTGTTAGATATGTAAATAGGATGTTATAAAGTGGTATGTATGTAAATTTCCCTTTATTTTACTTTTCATAAATCGTCAAAAAAATTCTTTACAATTAGAGATAAAATTAAATAGGAAACTTTTGAAATTAATTTCGTGACCATCTGAACTTCAATTTCACCAAATTTATGGTTGAACTAAACATCTCTAAAACACGAATCCAATGACACCAAATTCAATCAAATTCGAGCCCAAATGGACCCAAATTGAGGGTCCAAAGCACGTTTAGAAGCTTCAAAGCATAAATTCGACAACCAAACGATTTCCAAAGGTGACAAGCTTATAATCGAATCAAGCGGTTCTAGGGCTTTCAAAATCAAGTCTTGAGTTGGTTTCGGGTCCAACTCATAACTAATCTAACACCAATTGACTCAATATGAACTTGTCCCCTTTTTTTTCTTACGGGTCAGTTTTTTTAACCCGGATCCGATGGGTTGCGCGGTTGACCCAATCCGACCCGCAACATGTTGAGGCGTCAGCTGCTCGGCGAATCGATGAAGAAGGCGGGCACTTGGCCCGAGACAGGCACTCAACGTGACGGTGTAAGCACGGACGCGACAGCTGGCTGACTGATCACTGTGTTTTTAACGAGCATTTCGTGTTCAACGGCTCAGTTATTTTTAATATGAATTATGATCAATGTCAGAGATACTTGGAATTCCATAGTTTTATGTTTCTATTCATAACATTTCTTCTATTTTTCCTTAGCTACTACCAACCTTTTCATGATCAGCCCAAATTTTTTTGTAACCCTATCTACCAACTCATAATATATTAACTTTATTTCTCCTTAAAAAAAAACTTTATTTCTCCCATCTAAAAAAAAAAAAAAAACTTCATTTCTCTCGTCTCTGTCCAAGCTAACAATGTTCTCCATCTTAGCTTGTCCCATATAGAGCTTTATATGATGTCATTTCGATGCAGGAGGATCTACCAGAGCTACTGCGAGGCAATGCAGGAGTTGTCGTTGGTGATAGCAGAGCTGCTAGGGATGAGTCTCGCCGGAGACCGGAAATGGTACCGCGAGTTCTTCGAGGACGGGAAGGCGATCGCACGCTGTAATTACTATCCTCCATGCAAGCAGTCGGAGCTCACGCTGGGGACGGGCCCACACGCCGATCCCAACGCATTCACGATCCTGCAGCAGGATGAAGTCTCCGGCCTCGACGTGTTCACCGGCGGGAGGTGGAGCTCCGTTCCTCCCGTCCCCGGCGCCCTCGTCATCAACGTCGGCGACACCTTCGAGGTAAGTGACCTGCCGTCTCTTTTCGTTAATTTCAGTTCCTTAAGCCCATTCTACATCTTGATATAATTTGTACCACGACACAAATGGGTGTCCGCGGAATTTTAAGTCAAGCGCGTCAAAGGCGCAGTAAAACTACAGTGAAAGCAAAGTCAAAAGTACACCCAAAGCACACTCAAACAGTAGTCAAAGCACACTCAAAGCACAATCAAAGTGCAGACAAAATACACAACCAAAATGCAGTCCACATGGTAACTTTTTAGTACATGTCCGGACTTATTTTTAGGTCAAGTGACGGGACCTAATAATTTACCCACAAACGGAGCCTTAGATCTCTATTAATGGAACCTATAAATACAAATCTCCCATTTCACAAATCTCCATATAGAAGGAATGAAAATGGATATTTTCTTCAAAGACCTCACTTTTAATCAAATGTAATTTCGAAATTACATATTAATCAACCTCACTGAATCAAACGCCTCATAAATTTACTTTAAATCTTAAAAATTGAAAATAATAGCCAAACAATCTATTATGTTCTAGCCAGATTTAACAACTGATATGCCCATTAATTAATTTCTTAAAAGTTTAAAAATCTGATGAATAAAATTTTTAAACTCTAATTGAGCTAAACCCTAATTTGTAGCCATATACTGTTTCCAGCCGATCGATCTTAATTTGCCAGTCCGTTGGCTTAAATTTACAAGCGGTCGTCAAAGTCAAATTAATTCACATCCAATTAATACATCTGTGTTTGATCTGTAGGCGCTGAGCAACGGAGAGTACAAGAGCTGCCTCCACCGGGCGGTGGTGAACCCAGACAAAGAAAGAAGGTCAATCGCCTACTTCGTGAGCCCGAGGCTTGATAAGGTCATCCGCCCACCGCCGGAGCTCATCGCCGGCGTCGATGGCGACGGCAACGGAGATCGTAGGAAGTTCCCAGACTTCACCTGGTTGCAGCTGCTGGAGTTCACTCAGACTCGCCACCGCGTAGACGACGAGACACTGCGCTTTTTCGTCGACTACCTCCGCTCCGCGCCGGGGGCTAACTGAACTTCGACGGGAGTTGTTTCAATTGTCGTAATCAGATTGTTATAAATTATATTAAATTGCAGAGAATTCTTATACTTCTATTATATATATAATGCTTAAATTGTCATATATTAATTATAAAATATCTTAATATCTAAATCATATTAAAATAGTTGCATGTGAAATGCTGGTAGAGCCGGGTCTCACAGTCTCTAGAGAGATTATTACTTGTGGTGTCCATATCGTAAGGAGGCGAATTCGGATACGTCACGTCATTCGGATGAATCGGGCCCTGGATGACGTGGCACGTCCATATTCGCCTCCGGACGAATCCGGACGCCCTATGTAATATTTTTTCCACTCTCAGGGTCTATTTTGGAGATATTATTTCGTGTATCATCTAAGGATTCAGAGGCAAATCATGATGCGCCACATCACCCTAGTATATAGCATTACACAACACTGGTACATAACAAATGATGATGTGGCGCGTCCTTATTTCCTCTGGACGGCATCTGATCACCACCACCAACAACAACAACTACATCAATCATTTGTCCCGTTATGTGGGGTCGGCTACATGAATCCTTTTTTGCCATTGTATCATGTTAAAAGACAAATTATCATTTAAATCTAATAAAGATATATCATTTCTAATATTTTCTAATCAAGTCTTTTTAGGTCTACCTCTATCTATCTTAACATAAGTCAAATCTAATACCTTAAATTTTATTCCCGAAAAAAAAAAATTTATTCCCCAAAAAAAAAAATCCTTAACTTTTCTAACCAAGTCATCGGAAGGCCTCCGTTTAATCTGACCAAACCATCTAAAGCGACTCTCTCTAATCTTATCTTCCACTAGAGCTACTCCAACCTTTTCACGTATATGCTTATTTCGTATTTTATCTTCAAGGGTAAAGCCACTCATCCACCTAAGCATCCTCATCTCTACAACATTTAACTTAGTATTATGCTTTTCTTTTAATGGCCAATATTCGACACCATAAAGCATTGCATGTCTCTCACCACCATCTCATAGAATTTTCTTTTAAGTTTGAGAGGGGCATTTCTATCGCACAACAAGCCCGATGCAGTCCTTCACTTCAACCATTCAACTTAAATTCTGCTCATAATATCCCCATTTATTTCATCATCACTTTGAACAATAGATCCAAAATATCTAAAACTTGAACTCTTATTAATAACTTGATCGCCCAAAGTCACAATTCCCTCACTAGGTCTATTGCTACTAAAATTGCACTCCATATATTCAATTTTAGATTTATTCAAACGAAAACCTTTAGACTCTAAAGTTGACATCCATAATTCAAGTTTACCTTCAACTCCCTCTCTAGTCTTATCAACAAGAATAATATCATCAGCAAAAAGTATACACCAAGGCACATCTAAAGGTAAAAATAATATTATGGACAACGTCCTATCACCGCACATTATAATTTCTCGTATTTTGTGAGGGCACAAATAGCCTATTTCAAAAAAATGTCTAATTTTTTCAATCCAAGTTGGGATTGAGGGTTTTAATGTTGTTGTTGTTGTTGTTGTTGTTTAGGTGTTTTTATAAAAGATAATTTATATAATAAAAGCATTTTAATTTTCTTAAATATAATATTATGTTTATTAAAAAAATTTATATTTATAATGAATCATTTGATTTATGTCTCCACTTAAAACTCGTCGCGGCGCTTTGAAAAGCGTGCGAAGCCTAAAACGACGTTTTCGGGTTTTACAAATTTACTATGATATATATGTAAATTCCTCAATGGAGCATAATTGTTTTTTTTCTTAATTAATGAAATAAAAGTGGAAATGCAAGGTCATATTATGTTATGGTAGGCTCATATATATGCAATATCTTTGGGCTGGGAGTTTGTGAAATTCTATTTGGAGAAAATTTGGGTGAGAATAAACTGCCTAATTTGTCAAATATGGGTTTTAACAAATTTTTATTTATTTGAGATAAATATAATAAAAATAATTACTTTATTTTTATATTGCATAATTTCAAAATAATACATTTAAGTTGAAAGTCTCATTTGGGATGGCTTTCTTACTGCTTCTTAAAATAGTTTTTTAGTTAAACTTTTTTACTCGAAAGCTTCTTTAAGAAGTAGTAAGAATGTCATCCCAAATGAAAGCGAAGTGACCATATCTTATTTTCATATTCAACTTTATTTTTGAGATATTTAGGCCAATTAAGATAGACTCACACACGCATACACTAAACTCAAATTCAAGACCTTTTAGTTGGTGGCCTTAGCTCCCATAATGTTTATTAATTGATATTTTTGGGAAAAAAGTGAGTGTATAAGAACCATTAAAGCTTCGTTTGAGACAGTTTTCTTACTGCTTTTCGAAATAGTTTTTTAGTAAAAATAAAAAATAAACTTAAAAAAAATTGTAAAAAAACAAAATTTAAAAAGAAATAAAAAAGCATTCTCAAATCAGCCTTAAATGTGTTGCAAAAGCAAGAGGTGAAACCAAACTCTCTTTTCGAGGGTGGGCAAAATATAATTGTTAAATGTATAATCTTATGTATGAAATAGAAAATAAAATTTTTTTTGATATTTGAGCAACTTCATTAATTTAAAGTAAGGAAAATAGTTAAAATGTTTATTTTTCTAAGGAAAAAAAAAATATTAGAGTGGGCCACCTTGAGCTCTTCCTGATTCTAATCCTGAGTATGTGAGATCAACTATATGAATCATTTTTCTTCATTGTATCGACATTTAAATCTAATAAAAAAATCATTTTTAATACTTGAAAATAACAAATTACACTAACTTAATTTAAAATTACTTAATATAACAAATTTAGGCAACAGAACAAATATATTTCACTGTTAGAGACTCATTGCGAGGAAAATTATAAAATAAACATAAAATGCACATTTGTATATATAAGTGCAACACAAGAGTTTATTGATTATCTATATATTCTACTCACCATATAAAAAAAAATAAAATTTTTAAATTTCTCACGATCAAAATTTGAAAGTTGAACCTCGTTGGCTAGAGAAATTATTCTGTGCGGAGTCCGGACGGGAATAACCGTTCAAATATGTGAATGTACACATTTATATATATATATAGTGTGTATCAAATTTGTGTGCACTCACAATCAGGACAATTCTTCCCATCCAGACTCCGCACAGAATAAAAGTTTATACATGAACACCCAGATCAGTCAACAATCAACAATACACTCCACGGATTTCTTTGACATAAAAGCTTGCAGTTCGAAAGACATGAAGTATATTTAACATAAAAAATAAAATAAAATTGTCTTACATATTCTGGTGTTGTTCATTAAGAATATAATTTAGAGCCTCTATATTTGTTGATGGAAGGACAAAAAGTTAAGATAAACAGTGATCCCGGTTAATAATCAAGACCTGGGCCATCCAAATAGAGCTAGAATCAGGCCAATAATGTCACCAGTAAGAAGAGCTCTCAAGAGCTTTTGTTTCCGGGGTGTATATGGTGGATATCTTGCAGATACTTCTCCACCAAAGCTCCTGTGCAGAACAGCCTTCTTGTGGCTGAAGCTATCAAATGAAAATTTTCCATGATATGAGCCCACTCCGCTCTCTCCTACTCCGCCAAATGGTAAATTTGGGTTTGCAAACTGAAGGAATTCAACCACAAATTGGTAAGAACTTAATCTGGAGGAAAATTAGTCACAGGCAGAGTGATAAATCAACAACAGCAATTAAGCAATGATTTTCTTCAAAATATTGTGCGAGTTTATTGTATCCGGAGGCGAATCAGAGCGCGTCACGTCATCCATTTTGTTGCGTGGCGCTGTGTACCGGGGTGACGTGAACACTCTAATTTGTCTTTGGATGATCTGATGTCGGCATAGAATAATCTATCATTCTTGTGAGAGTTTGTGTTCAAAATTATCTTAAACTTGGCTTGAAAAGCTCATGGTGCGATATATATGGTACAATTTAATTATGAAAACTATTTGGAGATTTGTGGTGATAGTGAAGGGATAGTCCCAATCCCGGAACTCACCGTCGACTCCACTAGGGTTGTAAAGGCGGCAATCCCCGCAGCACGAGCCTTATTATTTTTGCACACATATTCATATTCGACTATTCGTCTAATTAGAGTTTGTAGTTATGTTGTGGGTATCGCTTCTCTCATTTTGTACCTATTTTTGACATAGTGAATTCTCCTCATATGCTCATAATTTTTTTGCCCTTCTAAAATTTTCCAAATTGATGTGTCTGTTTCTTAATTTGCCCTTTAGTTGCCTAGTTAAACATTATTGTTTCAATTCTGTAATTGAATTGTCTTCATTTAGAATTTTAGATTAGTCTCCTGCGTTTTATCTACTATGCTGATTCACACCTATTAAAAAGTTGTGTAAATATGATCGCATTCAATAGAAGGCACGACAATACAATTGACATCTTCGGCTTCGTTTGGGATGACTTTCGTACTGCTTCTTAAAGCAGCTTTCTAGTACAAAAGTAAAAAATTGTGTACTCAAAAGCTGGTTCAAGAAGCAGTAAAAAAAACATCCCAAACGAAACTTTGGTTTGAATCCTTTTACAGACCGAGCATTTGCAAGAAGCAAATAAAATGCTTACATGCATGGTTGTGTCATTGATGAGAATTCCACCAGCAGAAACAGTTTTTACAAATCTTTCCTCAAATTTCTTGTTCCGGGAGAAGAGATAAGCAGCAAGAGGCTTTGGCTTTGAGTTAATCACATCAAAACAGTCCTCCAATTTGTCAACCTTTCCAAATCACAAATGAAAAACAGAGAAATATTACTAATGCAGTGACAATGGTATTATTCTATGCTCATCGAATGGTTTTTTTTTTTTTTGTACTGTTTAAGGGAAGAAAAAGGTAAATATAAATGTTTCATAATGAAAATAAATTCTTACTGTGATAATGGGAAGCAAAGGGCCAAAAATCTCCTCCTGCATTAACAAAGAATCATCTGGAACGTCTAACAAGAGAGTAGGAGCAATCTTTCTGTAATGCCAAAAGTGATTAGCTGCATAATTAGAAGTACTGCAATTCCAATTTAGGAAAAAAAAAAACTTACAGGAGCTTCTCATCTTTTTGTCCTCCATGAATGATCTTCCCTGAAACTTTCTCATCATCTAGGAGGCTACTTAGGCGTGCAAAATGATTGGAATTCACTACACGAGATATGTCTTCAGATTGCAGAGGATTCTCCCCATAAAAATTCTCAATAGAAACTTTTAGAGCATCAACCTATTAAATGGTAAATGAATGTAAGAGTCCAACTGTCCAAGATCAATAAGAGGGCTTAAAATCTTTAGTCTAAGAAAATTCTCACTAATTTTGGAGCGAATGATTTTGTTGTTATGATGTAATCTGGTGCCAGACAAGCTTGTCCATTATTGGATCCCCACTTGCCAACAACAATCCTTTTTGATGTAACCTAATTTTTTTTTTTTTAATATTATCACAATTTAAACAGTGATGTAAATTAACAAAATAAAAAAAATTATCTCTTTTTTTTTTCCTTTATGATTGCATTGAATATTACTTTTAAGTCAACATTGGAATCCACAACAACGGGACATTTTCCACCAAGTTCCAAAACCACAGGTGTTAAGTGCTTAGCAGCTGCAGACATAACAATCCGTCCAACTTTTGCATTTCCTGAAAAATTTTCAAACTACCTAAGTGACAGAAAGTCGAAACACATAGTAACCCAGAATAAAAGACTAAACAACTTAAGAAATATCTTCTGCAGTAAAAAAAATTCTGACAAAGGATAAAAAACGAAAACTAAAATGTAGATCAGAAGTAAAAGATAATCAAAATCAGTAAAATTTAAATGTATTTGTATTTAGCTATCCAAATAGAAGAACAGAAGATTTTCTCTTTCTAAGAGGAGAAAAGTTCATTGTATGTATGTATATATATATATATGATATGATATGATATGATATGATATGTTGCATATATGAGCAGGTGTGTTTGCAGCTTTGCTTGTTGACTACGACCCCCAAAAGCTGTGTAATCTATTAATCGTGTCATCAAGGAGATACTAACTTCATCATATCACAATGCTTGTATAGGATTTTTTTCGTTGAAGGCAGATAAACAAACCTTGCATTATTAAGCAAGGGTGGATCTTTGAAGAAGGTATTCTCATTCGCTCTACCTAAATAAGTCTACCTAAGAATAATGAAAAATAGGACAACAAGTTTTGTCATAACTCATTATCAAATGACAATGAAAAATCACTGTCAAGGGTTAGGGGAAAGAAAATAAAGTGATATTTAAGTTAAAAAAAGCCCATTTTAAAGAGGGGTTTATTGAGTTAAGATGAAATAATGGCAAGAGAGAAACGTAAAAGCATCAAATAGTTTATACTTTATATTATATCATGAACAGAAATTTCAACTACCCAAATTCTGGGTTCTACTCCTAAATCATTTAGCTAATTTCAAGAATCTTTAAGTATGTGATAGGAAATACTTGAGTTCGCAAGTAACCCTAAGGGAAATACTTGAGTTCGCAAGCAAAACTATCACTAATTGGTGAAAACAGCGAGAATAATGCAAAATATGGGTGAAATCTGCCCCAAAATGATGGATTGCAATACGATAATCAAAGCCAAATAAACACGAAAACAAGATACAAGGGATCCTCAATTCAAGAGGAGGATCATCTCTCCCAATCGCTAGACAAGGTAGTCTAGAGCCCAAGATGCCAAGGAACTTCAAGAGAAATCAAAATCAAGGGTGAACCCTAACCCTTCCCCAAAAGAAACTAATTAAAGACAAAGGGCTATTAAAAATTTCCTAAATAGCCCTCTAATTCAAAAATTCCCTCCCAACCAAATAAAATTAGCAAATGGGACCTCTAGGAGCATCTGCGCCGCTCCTCTCTCTCTTCTCTAGCTCTGCCCAGCTTGGGCCGCCTATTATAGGTAAGAACCGGTCCACTAGTGACTGGTACAACCGGCCCAGGAGGGGCTGGCCTAACAGTATGATGGTCAAATACTTATCCAATTGAGGACAATGAACTTTTTTCATTGATCCATGAGGAGAAAGGGGGAATTGATTTTGAGAACCATTAGTATCACGCCGCAACCTATGCTCCATAACTCGCTCTCATAGTTTTAAAGTATGACACATTAACTTAATTCTTCTATAATTCACACAATCTTATGCATCACCTTTATTCTTAAAAATAGGAATTAACACACACATTTTCCACTCATCTGATATCTTTTTAGTTTTCAAAATAGTATTAAAAAGTTTAGTATGTCAAGAAATTCCTTCATCTCCTAAGCATTTCCACACCTCTATTGGAATATCATAAGGTCCAACAGCTTTTCCACCCTTCATTTTCTTTAAAGCCTCTCTAACTTCGATTTTAGTATTTTACTAATACGCCGATAAAAATATAAATCTTTATTTTATAGCTTAACTTCAAAATTATCTTTGGGCGAATGAAAAAAAAAATCATTATCACACTTCTTTACTGCTTAACTATAATGAATAATATACTTTATCCTATTAAATTTAGATAATTGGATAGGAAAAATGCTTAATTTTATTGCACAATACTATCCTTATTTATACATCTATACAGGATAACTTGATAGAGAAACAAATCATTACAAAATCATGCATATATAATTGCTCTAATATAATCCTTCTTAAATCAACCAACTAAATATGGAAGGAGATCGACGTGATCTAGGTGAGCCTCCCACGGATTCCCATCTTAGCCATGGGATCAAAATGCCAAGGGACGACTGGGATTTAACAGATGAGTCTCCCATAGATTCTCATCCTAGCTGTGGGATAAAAATGCCAAGGGACGGCTAAGATTTAACATATCCTAATTCAATACATTGGTTTACAATCTCATTCTTCGATCAAAGCTTTCTCTCTCCTTTGCTTGTTGACTACAACCCCCAAAAGCTCTGTAATCCATTAATCATGTCATCAAGGAGATGCTAACTTCATCATATCACAATGATTGAATAGGATTTTTTCCGTTGAAGGCATATAAACAAAGCGTGCATTATTAAGCAAGGGTGGATCATTGAACATGGTATTCGCATTTGCTCTACCTAAATAAGTCTACCCAAGAATAATGAAAAATAGAACTACAAGTTTTGTCATAGCTCATTGTCAAATGACAATGAAAAATCACGGTCAAGGGTGCGGGAATGAAATAAAGTGGTGTTTCAATTAAAAAGAAAACCCATTTTGAATAGGAGTTTATTGAGTTAAGATGAGATAATGGCAAGAGAGAAACATGCAAGCGTCAAATAGTTTATATTAGATCATGAACATAAAGTTCAACTACCCATTATGGGTTCTACTCCTAAATAATTTCAAAAATCATTAAGTATGATGATCAAATACTTATCCAATTGAGGTTAGCGAACTTTTTTCATTGATCTATGAGGAGGGAGAGGGGGGAGATGGAGAAAGAGAGAAATGACTAATGAGGACAAACAATGCTAAGCTTTTGTTCAATGCCTGCCCAACAATGAAGAAGGGGTGCCACTACATAGGAATGAAAGAATGAGGCAACAAGACTGAAGTAATTCCTCTGTCTTGTAAGCATATATTCTCATACAAAAAATACAATTAACTTTCACTTTTATAAAATTTAAAGGTATCTACCGTCCCTTTAATCCAATCCAATGAAAAAAAAAGACAAGTTATAGCTTAACTTTAAAATTATTTTTGGTCGAATAAAAAAAAATCATTATCACACTTTTTTAATACCAAACTGTAATGAAAAATATAATTTATCCTAATTCAACACATTGGTTTACAATCTCGTTCTCCGATCAATGCGTTCCCTCTCCTCTTCCACTCTTCATTATACTCAATCTAGTCACACTTTTGTGATATATCTTTCTTTGGTGTCATTTGATCAATTCATTATAGGATGCAGACATATACATAGAAATTTGAACTAAGATGTTGAAGATCCATCACAGGATAAAAGATCTATCTATGATTGGATAAATTGCTAATCTTTTTTGCCTGTCGTTTTATTCCCCGCAATGGCACCTCTTCTCCAATATATAGCGGGCCCACCTTCTCCCCCCATGGGCGGATCCCCATATTAGTGAGGGGGGGGCAAATGCCCACCCTCAAAAATTTTTTTTTATAAATTTTAGAGGGTATTTTTTAGAATATTTTGGGTATTTTGCCCCCTCTAAAAAAAAATTTTTGTCATAATTTTATCAATCCTAATCATTTTTTTCCATCCCCTACCAAAAAAATTTTTTTGCCCACCCTAAAAAAAGAAGCTGGATCTGCCCCTGGACTCCCCCCCCCCCCGCAAAACCTACCCCCCTCCCCTCCCACCCCCCACACACACACACCTTAGAATGACAAGAAATAATTCATTATCCTTGATCAGATAGGTATCTAAGCATTGTATATAAAAGTCAAGAAATTAGTTAATTTATTTAAGATTACAAATTATTATTTAGATAGACTTTGTCTACATGATCTAAAACAAACTATTGGACACTCTTACTACTCCCTCCTGCCATGATCACATCCTAACTCAATAAAAAACTAGTTGAAATGGGTAATTTTCTGGCTTGTGACGCCTTTCTTTTAGTATGTTTGAGGGCCCTTTGCCCATTCTCTTGCTCCCTCTACTCTCTCCGCATATCCATTTAATTAATAGTTATATTCAAAAAACTGTAGGGGCGTGCTTTAGTTCAATAAATTATTCAATTATTTCCTTTGGACAGACTGTTGTAGAAGAAAAGGGCACAAACCATTAGCTATTAATGTCATGTAGTAAGTAACCATACCCACTTTAGTCATCTAATGGGACAATATAATTAATCAAACTAAATTCATAAAAATAAAATAATTGGAATAATATAAAAATATTGGGAAAATAAAATCAAGGAAAGTCTAAACGTTCATTAATTCAAACAAAAACCGGTATGCAGAGATTCTCACTGAATCCTCCTTGAAGAAGAAGAGGGTAAACTAATTAATAATCCTGTGTAAAACTGCTGCATTATTTCATATAATATGGAGAGTAATTTCAAATGCGTGTTGCAGATAATTATGCACTAACCTGTATAAATTATTTTATCAAACTTCTGCGCCAGAAGTGCAGTAGTTTCAGGAATAGACCCCTCAACAACTCTAATACAAGAACTATCAACATAGTCTGGTAATATAGTAGAAAACAAAGCTGATATGGACGGAGCAATTTCTGATGGCTTTAGAACAACAGCATTACCCGCTGCAATAGCTCCTATGACTGGATCAATAGATAGCACTGGAAAGAAGGAAATCAAACAAAATTTTTTAACATAACTACAGTGCTCCAATATACTGAATTACTCAATAAAAATAACAACTTCTAAGAAACATAACTGGTCTCTAAGAAATTCTTTGGACTACATTATTGACATAAATACAAAAAAAAAAAAATTTAAATTCAAAAAATGCATAGTTTAAGCAAAATGTGAATCTAAAATTAGGTCAAATGGACTAATTATTAGTAATTTACAATTCTGATTCCTTGCTAGTCAAGCAAAATGTGAATCTAAAATTAGGTCAAATGGAGATGAATTGCATTTTTGGTGATATTGGGGCCATTGGTGATGACAAAATAAGGGTTACAAGAATTTTTATTATGTTGAACCAACACCAAAAAAAAAAGGGTTACAAGAATAACTTTTTGAGGTGGGGTTGAGAGAGTAGCAGAATTGACTATCATGTTGGAGCTAGGGAGGCAGGGCAGAGTCTAACTGAAGGAAGGGATCCTTTTTCTTGGAAAGCCCGGAAATGTTACAACCTGACGAAAGTCTCCATGGATTGAAAAGAGCTTTTGACACCATCTGTGGCAGAAGGCACTAAGAAGCTAGCATTTTCCATCAAGTTTTCAGCCAACTCAAATAGTCTCCAATACAGTTGAAAAGATGTTAACGACATGCTGTGATTGGGAAGGAACTTATCCCAAGTTATAATTGGTCACTATGGAGAAAACAAGTGAGGGTCGAGCACTCGAGTTGTTCTACTTCTTGATGGTGAGAGGTTAATATAAAAATAAGATAATAGAGTAAAATAGGGAGACAAAACACAAGATTTTTAAGTGGCTTGACATTGTGGCCTCTAATTCAACCAATAAGAAAATCCGAGCTACCTAACAATTTCCAAGTCAGGATTGGGCCCCTCAAAGGCCTCATGTTGAATTCAACTGGCTATTAAAGGTGTGCATTTGGTCATGGTCTCATTGATTTACAAAATTGATAAACAAATTTATTTGGTTTCTAAAATTCAAAAAATCAAATTGATCAAACTATTTTCCAAGCCAAACTAAAGTGAATCAAAAACCAAAAACTAAAATTTAAAGAAAGTTAAAATTATAACAAATAATAGAACTAATAATTTAACAATGAGAAGTAAACAAATCAAATCAAATAAGATTGATTTGGGTCGGCTTTTCTAGTTTTATTCAAAAAATATACTACCCTATTGATTAGGGTTGGCAAGTTGATCGAAACAAAATTCAATTTTTAATGACTTTGATGAAGAGTACAAAATGAGATGTTATCCCCACATTAATTAAAAATATTAATAATCTACACGATGCATAAGAAAATGTTCTTAGGGGTGAATAAACCTTTGCAAACCCCCTCCATGGACCCCAACGCGATGAAATAAAATAAACAATCTTCTACTAGAACATGTGAAAGCACAAAAGTCAAATCCATATAAAAAAATTGTCTGCCATATTTTATTCAATGGTAGGTGAGAAATCAACATCTAGATTATGGGAGACTTATTCTTTTTTCTAGAAGCCAACTAGATGCAGGAAGATGCAGAGAACTTTCTTTTTAAAGAGTAAAAGGACAATGAAAAACTCTTTTAGTACTAAGAAGCTGAAATAATAATATCCTTTTTGTTTAATTAACACATGGAAACAGTATATATGAAGTTTGTTTAGACACTAATGTGCGGTCAAGAGAAGATTGCATGTGTTACGAAATTGGAGGAATAAGAAGCTTCTTCTTGGCTGCAAGAACAGCCTTTCTTGCAAGAGAGAGCGAAGGGCTCAGTTCGATGGATTTGCTCGTGGAGTGCAGGTAGCTGATCAGATCACAATACAGATAGTTCTTTGATCGTAAAATCGGATTAAGGTGGAGATTGTTGTATATTGGTCCGGTTGTATATTAGGTTGATCTGCAAGCTATCGCACTCCTTGTAAATATCTATAAATAGCATTGTAGTTGGTGTGAGAAAGGACCCCCTCTTGTAAGCTACTAAGGCCAAGGAATAAGAGATTCCTGTGTGCCTCCTCTATCCCTCTCCTCCCTTCCCTCTCTCTTTCTCTCTCTCTCTCTCTCTCTATCTCTCTCTCTATCTCTCTCTCTCTCTCTTCCAAGAAGCTAAAGAAAGGCTTCTTCTTCCTCACTCAAGGAACAACAGATTGTAATCCCGCATCTAGAATATTTATGGGGCCATTTTTCAAAGATACCAACGTTGGCACTAATTTACTGATTCCCCAATAGCCATAATATGAAATGGGGTGTCAGAATTATGCATGTTAGAAGCATTTAATGCTATGCTGGATCCACAGCAACTAAGAGAATACAATAAAACAGTCAAATTAGCATTTCAACTTGTCATATAAAATTTAAAAGAAATATGAACATATGACCAGGAAATAAGAACAGCGCAAGCTACTGTCAAAACTAATAGAATCAGACAGCATGAAAGGTTATCATTTCATAAACAATTTGATTTGATTTAGATATTAAAAAGTGGAGCAATTCACATACAAAAGGGATAATTCCAAGCAGAAATAACCAGCACAACACCGAGGGGCTCTGGTACAATCTCTGCCGATGAGGGGAAGGCCGTTAGCATACTTGACACCTAAATTATTTTCGAATCTAGTCAGTCATGCTTCATTAAGAATCAAATGCGCAAATAAAAGCCACAGCTTTCTTTCTATTTAAAAACACTAGCACTTTCGTGTTACCTTCTCAGGTTTCATCCAGCGCTTCAATTCCTTTAAAGCCAATCCACATGAAGACTTCGCCAAGGAAATCTGCAGTAAGAAAAACAGTGTGAGGAGGATTCAAACAGACAAAACTAAGGGTTAAAGATTAGAAAACAAAAAATTCCGACTAATTATTTAACAGGATCCGATGATGGCAAACAACTACGGCAGTTAGTAGAATCGAACGTCCTTTTCGCATCTCGAGATACAGCAACAAACGCAACTAGTGACTCAAATTATTTGAGAAACCGATCTAGGAAAATAGAATATGTGCCAAAAAGATCAATTATATTGCTCTGATCACAGAAAATTACCCTTTAAGTCATTTTCCAAAATGGAATAGAGAGAGATAAGTAGCCCAAAACCCAAAAACAAAACCTACAATCCATGATAAAAACCTTCGTCCTTATCAAAATAAATCCCTTCTAAAAAAGAAAAAAAGATTAAAACGAAAAAGTAAAGGTGAAGAGAAGAAGTCCAATCCCACCTCGTGGACAAAAGACTCAAGCTTTGGCTTCGATAGATCAGCTTCGAGAGCTTCCATGATGTTTTCCTCCTTCTCATCGATCATCCTAATGATGCCCTTCAACTGAGCCGCCCTCCATTCATAGCTCCTCGTTTTCCCTGACGCAAAGCTCTCTCGCAGCCCCATCACCACCTCGCCGGCGCTCTCTTCGCCGACGGATCGTTGACTTTGTTTGCCCATCTCTTCTCGCTGAAGGAATTACAGAGATTGGATGGAACAAAAGAGGAAGAAAACAGAAAGAAGAGCACAAGTTCGGATTTCAAACCGAAACTTCTTATATGGCCTGGGCCGTTATACTCATTCTATTTGTTCTGAAGGATGAATCATTAATACTAAGAATTAGAGCCGCGGAGGCTTTTTATATTGGCGTGGTCTTAGGCTTGCGATAGCTATGTCAGTCTATTCACCTTGGAGAGAAACTCCACGCGTAGGACTGCAAATTCATAAAGAAGCTCGATTTATGAATCGTTTTGACTTTTGATGACAATTTGTTAGTGATAATTTAATTAATTAATCTGATAAATTTAAATATTTTAATAAGTATTCAATTAATGAATGAATAAATTTTAATAGGTTATTATTTGATCTTTTTTTATGATATAAGTTATGAACAAATTCATCCCATTAAGATTCAAACATTTTATTTAATATGTGATTACATAAAATTTTATTATTTTCTTTTTTTTTATAAACACAAGATGCATATTAGTGCTCATGAAAATGTTTATTTATTGAACAATTTATTTAATTAAAATTTTATTTTTTAGCTCAATATATTATAGACTTGATAAAGATTGTTTAGCTAACTAATTGCTTATTAATAGACTTTTTTTGTAACGGGGGTATCTACTGCTGCCACCCCCTTTAGGAGGTGCTTGGCGGCGTAACTAATCTCTTGCCGAGCCTACCAGCAACCAGCCCCACAGTTGCAAGACCAGCAATTATTTTCTCCCCCACTTAAAGGGCTGCGCCACAGGAGAGAGAATTCAAACATGGGTTGGTGGGTTAGACATATTAGTTAGTTAACAAGTCGAGTTCAAATTGAATTATAACATATATAATTTTAAATGAATCGAACAAACCATACTATAAATAGTTAAATTAAATTGAGTTCTAACAAATAAGCTTAAGCCCAAACAAGATACTGTCAAACTCTACTTAGTTCATCTGTCGATGAAAATGAGTTGTGGCGTATAGTTGTAAATGATTATTATTTTAAGAATTTGCGTCGTATATTTATCATACTTCATTCGTTAAGAAAATAGGAAATCTGACGGCGTTACGTGAGAGGAGGAAATATGAAAATAATACTAACGTCATTTGTGTTCAGGGTTACCGTTAGACTCATAGCGTCTGTTTACTTTTCATTTCTTTGAGTTCACGTTAAAATTTTTGGAAAAAGCTTTTGCTTTGTTTTTCCCAAAAAAAAAAACTTTCCCCAAAAAAAGTTTTTACTTTGTTTAGCAAATAGATTTGTGCCGACTATGGTTTCGCATCGGATGACTTTTTTTATTATTTTTAATAAAAAAAATTTAGTTAAAAGAATTTTTATATTAAAATTTTATTTTAAAAACAAGAAGAAATTCATCTCAAATTAGGATAACTTTCTTACTGTTTCTAAAGGCAGCTTTATAATATAAAAATATTTTACATTAGAAATTTTTGTATTAATAAGTTTCTTTTAAAAACAATACTAAAATTATCCCAAATAAAATCTAAGCCTAAGAGTTACCTAAAATTTATTCAAATGAGACATCCATAAAGAGGCAACTTGATTTACCAAATGCACATGTGCCATTTGACATGATGATTTTTTTTAATAAAAAAATATTTTTTCTTAAACATTTTCACTTTATAAGTCCAATAATATATATATATATATATATGAGAAATTATGTTCGAAAACTTATTTCAAATTCAAATACCGCGGTTTTGGACTATGGTTTGAAGTCTATTATGATCAACATTAGTTTAAGTAATATTTGAATAAAGATCATACAATATTCAAACCACATTGTGGCAAGGTTTGAACATTAATTCTTGTATAGATCAAACAAGTATTGAATATATATTAATATACATTTGAAGATGATTAGAAGATAAGTTTGAATCATAATTGAAGATTGTTCGACTATGGCATGAAGATTTGCTGATCAAAGTTTCAAGATTGATCAATTATGTTTCAAACAACAATTGTAAAACATTATATTGCATTTTAAGATATATGACACAACAAATATAACACATTGCAATTTGTTTATGTAATTCAAAAGGTTAAGCATAGTATTCATAAGATAACATAATGTAGAAATCATGTAAACTTGATTAATGAAAAAAAAATTATATGAAAGATTAATTTTTGCTTAAAAATGTATATAAAACTTGAAGCACTTGCAAAAATTATTCACCATTGTCTTTAATATTTGTTGTGAGGTGCAAGAGGGGTTAAAGTTATATAATGTAATATTTTTTTGTAGCACGTGAGGTCTCATATAATGAATTTTATTCCATATTATTGGAAAATATATGAGCACTACATCAACCTTGGACTTTAGAAACTTCTCCTCATCTCTAATAACGTATATAATGACCCATTTAGGACAATTGAACGGCTATTTTCTCTTGAGTTTGATGAAAGCGGAGACTATTGCTTAGTAGTACTTATTAAATGATTCATTCAACACTATCATATTAGATTCATTATTTAATCCCTTAATATGATACATATGAAATTAATGTGTTGCAAAAATAAAAATTTGAAGTTGGTGTAAAGAACATTTAAGTACTGATTCTTCTAATGGAGTAAATATCTCTCACTCCACTAGTAATTCATATTATTTAAGCATTGAACCATTTGAACCATGTTATATGTCACAACCAACTTGATATGACCCACAAACAAACATATCGTACCACGTTGAATTGGATATATAGAGCCTAATATCAAAATTTCATGAGCTTTTTATATTTCTTTCATTTAAAATTTGAAACAAATAACAAAGTTTCTAAATATTTTTTAGTAAGAAAAAAATAAACTCATAAAGTTCGAGACAAAATCTCAAAATGTCTTTCTTTTATGCTCATAGCACTAGAATATGCCCGTATGCACCAGAACATGGCTTATAGCCATCAGAGCATGCCATATAGGCACCAGAATCTTCCCTAATACAAATAAAATCTTGTAGGATCTTGGCCCTTTATAGCTCCCAGCCGATGTTTTTCATTCATATAAGTTTTTATCCTGTTATATAGGCATATATTTCATCATATTACAGTAATTAAAGCAAAATTAAACACAAGTCAGAATTGCACAGTATGGTATAATAGTAGAAAATTGAATTTCCTACTGAGCAAATTTTCACAATGCCGAAATATGTCCAAATTATAAAGGAAGGTGTAAAATAATATTTTAAGATATTTATTGAACTATAAATTTATTTTTTAATGTCCAGATTAATTTTTATTCAATTAAAATCACAAAAATTTTAAAATACCTGATATAAAAGTTTCAGAGAATACTCAAAATATTCATAATCATGTTCTCTATAACATATAAAAAGTTATATGGTAAAATTTTACCATTAGAAAGTTATACTCAATTTTTGCTAATAGAAATATACTTTTAATAAAAAAATTGGAAAATTTTTATATTTTTGGAAAGTGAGATAAACATAAGGCGACCTGATTTGATCTTGATAATTTTTCTAATTGGGTCGATGGATAAAAACTGATTGAAGCGGCCCAAACATAATTTTCTCTCTCCAAATCTCTTTATTTCTCTCTCCTACTCGGCCGATTGCTTAGTTAAAAAGATTGGATTATTAAAATTAAAATGTATCTAAAGAGCTCATAATGGCCTAGCACCACGATGCTCAAATTGGAGCTCGTTACTGCATTGCTAAAAATCTGTAATAACCCGAGAGTTGGCACCGCAATGTCACTTTATGGCGCCTTGGTTGAGTGCAGCGTTGCGGCGCTCGAACATACAATATTGGGATGCTTCAAAAATAACATTCTTCGATTTTACCAAAATTCACACGCAACACTTGAGACAAATTATATATATAGTACACCCAATTAATTTCATACATTAAAACACTCCCAAAGATATATAAATAGTTAAAAAACTTGAAAGTTCTAAACCTTATGTTTTTTTAATCTGGTTAGAACTAGTAGAACTGAATGTTTGAGTTGTAAGTGTCACAACTCTCCCCTCAAAAAAATGCCATCATCAACATTTTAGAACATATATGGGTACAACTATCTCATCTTAGACTCTTTTTTTAAGTAGCTTCTCTCTCTATCCTATACAACTTTCAATCTGTCTCTGACTAATTAATTGATATTCTCAGTAGCATCATTAACCAAGCCTGATCCAATCAGATGTCTCTCTCCCACCTCTATCCAAGAAAGCAATGTTCAACACTTCCTGCCAAACAAAGCTTCATATGGAGTCAATATGCTTGATTGAAAACTATTTTTTTAAGTAAACTCAATCAGATGAATGTAATCTTCCCAACTGCCACCAAAATCTAGAATGTAGAGTCTCAAAAGGTCTTCCAGTACTTATATAGTCATCTCTGTCTGCCCATCTGTTTGAGGATGAAAAGCCATATTAAAATACAATTTTGTTCATAGGCCTTGTTGAATACCTCTCAACCGTTTGGAGGTAACCATGTCATACTTGTTAGAAACTATAACCTTTTGTATCCCATATAATATGATATCTCACGCATATATACATGTGCCAATCTATCCACTGAATAAATATTTCAAATCAAAATGAAATGTGCAAATTTCATTAATTGATCAATAACGACCCAAATAACATCATGTCCCTATATCGACTTAGGAAAAGCCATAACAAAATTCATAGTCACATATTCCCATTTCCACTCTAGAATGGGCTAAGGCTACAAAAGACATCTTGTTCATTGATGCTTAGCCTTCATTAAAAGACATGCTTCATGCTTCGATTCAAAATCTGTCACATCCTTCTTCAATCCAAGCCACCAAAATATGTCCTTTAGATCACTATACATTTTACTGCTTCCCAAACGAGTAGTGTAGCCTAAATAGTGAGCCTCATGCAAAATATCTTGCCTAAAGTCTCCAAAAGTAGGAATCCACAATCGATTCTTAAAAAAAAAAAAATACCAAAATCAGATGCATGCAATTCAGATTTCTTATCAGATCTAATATGATCAATCAACTTTGGATGCTCTTTATCTGACTTATGAGCTTCTTGAAACCTTTCTTGCAATGATGGTTGACTAATCATCAAAGTCAATATATTAGAATCCCCCTTTATAGAAAAATAACCTCCAATTGTAATATCACTATATCACATATCAAAGACTCTTTATAAGTAAGCTGAAGAAATGAAACTCATAAGATTTCCTGCTCAAAACATCTGCTACCACATTAGCCTTATCAGGCTGATACTGAATAATCAGATCATAGTCTTTAATCATCTCAAGCTATCTCCTTTACATTAGATTTAGATCATTCTGAGTGAATATGTACTTCATACTCTGATGATCAGCGGAAATCTCACATCTAATACAGTATAAGTAATGTCGCCAAATCTTTAAAGAGAATGGGACAACATTTTACTTGTGCTTGTTTATATTTTTTTTTATTTATGATTTCTTGCTTGTTGTGCCTCATGTGCTTGAAGGTTTTGTATTTCAATTTGTGTGTTGATGAGATCTATTTTACCGACAGACAATTTTTGAATGATTTTAATTATGATTGAAATAATATGAAACTCATTATGCATGACATTAAATTAATTGCTTGACATCGTGTCGATCGATTGTTGTCATTTCGATGCACTACTTGGATTGATCATGGAATAGATGTGAAGGTCAACATGGGTGTTTATTAAACTTTCCTTTGAGTTCATTACCTTCAAACTATATAACTAGCTACTCTATCATACCCCTAGTTCTATATGTGATCTGAGCACTATGTTGCCTCTCTTATAGTATGATTATAATAGACATCTTTATTTATTGCAAAATAACTCAAATAAGTAAAATAAAACTTTCATAATCAAGCAATTTAAGGAATCCCCACTTAAGATCATAATCAAATGATGATAGTTCAATCTTTAAACTTTTATAGAATAATGCTTAAATAATGATCTTTCTATATAATATCTTCTTTCATGATTCAAATAATATTCAAACTAAGACTAAAAAATTATAGCGCCATCTTTGAACATGTTTGGTCATGATTACAAAATGGTCTAATTATGGTTTAAAGGTCATTTTAAGATATTTAAATTATGAAGAAGATAATTCACTTATGATATGATCAGTTTCCAAAGATTATTTGATCATGATATGCTCATTTTTTCATTAGTGGTGTTAATTTAAATATATTTATAATATATCTACCCTAAAAATATAGTTGGACAAGTTTTCATCTTGGTACCTCATCACGACTAGTCCATACTCAAATACACTAATATATATATATTTAATTTAAAAGAAAAAAAAATCAAGCTCAACAATTGAGTCAAGTTCGAGTAATCGAGCAGAGCTCACGCCTATAAATTTTTTAACGAGCCGAGCTCGATATTAGTAAATAAACTCGAGTTGAGCTCGAGCTCAACAAGAACTAAAAATGCTTAGGTCAATTAGGTTGATACTCGACTTATTTATACCCATACATAGGTCATGATACGTCGATAACCCAAAGTGTGTGGAAATAAAGAAGGAAATTATATCACGGTAATAATCATTTTGTTTTGGAGAGTGAAAGAAACAATTCCTTGTTTGGATGCCCTAGAGTGCTCCATTTGGTTCGATTTATTTTGAGCTTGATCTTTTTTCACCTCTAGTAAAGTAAGTTGAAGCTATACCTCACGTAGGATGACCTCCATTTTTGCCATTAAATCTTTGTTAGGGTTGCCAAAATAGATCAACATATTGGGTTCGGTCCAACTTGAAATTAACCCGACTCAAATTCAGTCAACTACAACATGACTTGTTAATAAATAGATCAAAATGATGAACCTGAACCTAATAACATGTGAATTAAAAAAATATTTTTAAACTTGTTAACCATAAAATTTAGATTAATAAATAAAACATAAAAAAGATTACACAAATAAATAAAAGAATGTAAGGAAAAAATATTAAACATGTCATTTTAGGGTCAAAATTGGGCTGTGAGATCAACCCAAACACAACTTGTTTAATAATTGGTCAGAATGCATGATTCGAACTTGACCCGTTTATTAAAAGGGTAAAAGAACCTAAATTTTTTAGCAAAGCTTGGATCTAGTTGATGGATCATATCATTTATTAGCACTTCTAATATTTGTTACACTCAATTTTTGCCCACACCTGCCCTTTAGTCGAGCGGTATACTTTCAATTGGGCTCTTTAAACATCCAAGGAGATCAAGGTGGTGGTGCTGTTGCAGCAAGGGGTTGCTTTTGAGATTAGTATCACATTTAATCTTAAAATTGTTAATAATGGTCCACAAATACTCATTTTAATACTTAATTATGATTAATATTTTGTTTGAGAATTTTTTTTTGCTTTCTAAATTAATTTTTTAGTATAAAAATTTTTATTAAAAAATTATATTAAAAATAGCTTTAAAAATAATAAAAAATTATACCAAAGCCTAAATTGGCTGAAAAAACGAATACAAATAGCCTACAAATGCTGCCAACACAAAATCCACATCACTAAAAGTTAATTACTACAGCATCAAAACATTCATATATATATATATCACATCATTCATTTTCACAGATTTTTCCGAAGGCTAATAATTTATTCGACCCCGCCATCTCTTCGACTTGCACAATGCAGAAACAAGCCTCGCCTAAGCGTCCCGTTATCAAACTTGAAATCTCCCTCCAACTCGAGGAGGATGCAAATGGCGAAAAGTTAATCTGTTTGCAGGCACCGCCAAAATAAACTAACCCCGCCCAGTTTGCCATGCTTCCAAAAAATTATACGTTTCGATTGCAGCTGCTTGTTCCGGTCAGCATACCGGGAGTGAATGCACTTCTTTATTTCAGAGCAAGAAAAAAGAAAAAAGAAAAAAGAGAAAAAAATATCACAGCAGGCCTCATGTGAGCGCCACCGGCGACTCCCTTTCCTCTCCCTTCGTCCGCCCTGAAGCCCTAACGCGGGAGAGGGACGGAAACCATAGTAAAGTAGTGAAGGACTTCGATGTCTTCCCGGCTTCAGAGATCGAGCATTTCACCGTTCCGATCACGGAAGACAGCATCGGCCCTCGGCTCAAAGCCTGGAAACCGTCCGACGACCCCGTCCACCGGCAGCGTGAGACCCACAACACCGTCGAATCCTTCTACTAGCCGGCCGACGACGCCGTCGTCGTTAGCAACCTTGGCTGCGCCGGTGCGTGGCCCGATCACCTCCAGGATCTTGCCCGTTTCCGGTGCCACTTCTTCATCCTCGTATCCGGCTACCGAACGGCCCGAATTTCAGAAATCTAAGGAGAATGTCACGGTTACTGTACGATTCCGGCCACTCAGGTAGAGTTTTACTGATTGTTCTCTGGCCTGCCTTGTTGTTTTACTTACTAGGGAGCATTGAACCGTTGTTGTTTCTGCTTCGATGCTGGAAGCCCGCGGGAGATCAGCAAAGGGGATGAGATAGCATGGTATGCTGATGGCGACTCCAATGTTCGTAACGAGTATAATCCAAGCATCGCGTATGGCTTTGGTAAGTTTTTATTCTCTTTTTCTTTTACCCGTGCTTGTCATATGACATACATAGCTCTAATGCGTTTATTTTAAAAGGCCATGTAGTATGGTGAAAATCATTGTGGGTCTACTTTTTGGCAAATTATTGGGCCAGGTGACCGAACGCAGATATAGATCCGGATATTAATAAAATATTATTTTAAAATTAGCGCAAGTAAAGCGCAACTAAAGCGCAAGTCAAAAAGCGCAACTAAAGCGCAACCAAAGCGCAACTAAAGCGCAAGTCAAAAAGCGCAACTAAAGCGCAAGGTGACGCGGCAAATTTTTATTGGATGTCCGAACTTATTTTCCGCCTCCGGTCACCTGACCCAATAATTTGCCCTACTTTTTGAGATGCATTGTCACCATTAAGCAAGAATTAATAGCAACAAGGTTTCATTATTTATAGTTAATTAACGACCCATAAACTTGAGTGGATTTAAGATAAGTCATCCCGAGTATGAAGAAAAAATTGGGTGAATCTTCAGGGTGGCTAATTTGTTATTTTTTGCCTTTGTAGGCGACAAAAGAAAATAAGCTTATTTATAATAATTTGAAGGCATTCAACCAAGCTTTGTCTCTTGTATGGAATTACTCACTCAAAATGGGTTAATTCCTTTCAACCTTTTACTTTATCTCATAAGCGAAGTTCTCGAAGGAGTAGATTATGGATTTAGCCTTAGGTCTAATTACATTTTTCAAGGAATAATGCTCTACTCACCAAATAATTTCATGTTTGAATTGTTGCCTTGTTAACTACTTATATTATAGTTAATATTGTTGCAGCTTTTTTCTTGTTTTTGTTTTTTTGTTTGTTCAATTCTTTAACCAGAACACTTTAAAAAGAGGTTCAACTTATAACTAATGAACTTCAAAATAAGTTATTTCGTCCAACTTGGTGAAAAACTACTTGTATGTGTGAAATCTCTTATTTATACGGGAATTTTTTTATAAAGTAATTCATTTCTTACAATTGTGTTAATGTTGTACTTTTGCTGTGCTATGTGAAATGAAAAAATGTCAAGATGCTTTAACATAGATTTATTAGTTTAGAGCGATGGTGAAATAGATGTGGATATTATTAGTAGAATTCAAGTTATATGGTTGAAGCAGAGGAATGCATTGGGCTTGTTTTGTGTTAGAAAAATATCTTTCAAACTTAAGTGAAAATTTTATAAGATGGCGGTTAGACTCTCAATGCTTTATGGTGTAGAATGTTGGCCATTAAAAAAAATAAAATTAAGTGTTGCATAGATGAGGATGCTTAGGTGGATTAGTGACTTTACACATAGAGATAAAAAACAAAGTATATATGTGAAAAGTTTGGAGTAGCTTTAGTGACAGATAACATTAGGGATAGTCACTTTAGATGATTTGGTCTCATAAAACGTCAACCTTTCGATGACCATGTTAGAAGAGTATATGTATTAGATCCGGCTATGATAAGAAAAGTAGTTGTATAACTAAAAAGTCTTAATTAAGAAAAATAAAATTCACATCTTTTTATTAGATTTAAATGACAATTTGACCTTTAATATGTCACGATGGAAAAAAAAATTCATATATCCAACCCCATGTAGTGGGATAAAGGCTTGTGTGTTGTTATTGTTGTTGTTTCACATAGAATTATTAAATGTTCCATAAGTTAATCCAAATGCTCATAAAGTCATAGAGAAGGTGCAAGTCCAAAATAGTGAGTTTTGTTGCATATTTCTCACATAAACCAAAACTGTTTTTCAAAAAAATTAGATGGAACGAAAGCTGCATCAAAGGTGAGTAAATATGATGAAAACAATAACTACTGTTGTAACCTAGTTAGGTGATTTGCTTAAGCTAAATTTACTGTGGTTTGAAGCTATTTCATGATTAGATGTCTATTCCAGCTACCACATGAAACTTGAATCCGCCAAAATTTATGTACCTTTTTCTCTTGCTCTTTTAAGGTTTGGAATATGCTGGTTGTATGAGATTAAGGACCTTTGAAATTTAGTGGCGATCCATTATTGCTGTCTAGTGAAGTATATTCACACACACACACTCTCTCTCTCCTCTCACTCTATATTATTTTGTTAAATATCCATCCTTTTTCTTCCTTATGATCTACACTTCCTCTCATTTTAACTAGATAGTCAAGGTGGATAGCATCTCACTTTCTTTGGTGTTTCAGATAGAGTGTTTGGGCCAGCAACAACCACACGCCATGTTTATGATGTGGCTGCACAGCATATTGTGAGTGGTGCTATGGAAGGAATTAATGGTAACTGCTTCTCTTTTTTACTTTTAATTCTCGTTTTGGCTTTTTATTTAGTTGATCTTGATGTGAAAATTTTGAGCAATTTAGCTAGTTTTTTTTTTATTTTTTTTTTTTATAAATTTTGTTGAAACTTCACAAAGCCCACTCGATTTAACCAACAATGTATTGAAAATTAACATATATTCTTTGATAATTTATACTTCTTATCCAAATTTAAGTTGGCTTAATGACTAAATGGTTATTGGTCTTCATTTTGTTGCCGAATCAACTTAGTTGTATTCTCAACCTATTTTTTCTCCTGCTATTGAGCTTATTATGCTAGTTGTTCACATTAATACTCTAATTTCGGTCCATTTTGCTTGATGGAGTTTTCTGTTCTTATTTATGTTCATGCTTTTTCATCCTTAGATTTTATGGGAAGCATGTATGCTTAAAATTTTTTTCTAGAAGATTCTGAATCTGTGACATTTAGATTTATGCATTCTTAGTAGATTCTTTAGTTGTCTCTGATAAGATATTCTTATCCATATAGTACCAAAGGCTGTCTAACTAATGCCTTGCAAGTTTTTTTTTACATGTTTAATTATAATAAATAATGATGCCAGGCAATGGTCCTTCTTGTGTTACTTTATTGGTTGCCATGTAGTTAACTAAAGTGACTGCTGATCGTTTTTCCTGATATGTTGTAGGCACCGTTTTCGCTTATGGTGTTACCAGTAGTGGAAAGACTCATACCATGCATGTAAGGCTTGGGTAATTTCTTCATTGCTAAAGGTTCTTTTTATGTCATAGAAGCAATTTTTTGTTTTATTTTTATGCTTGAATAATCACTTAAAGTGAAGGTAATTTCTAATGTGATTTTTATCCTTGATTAGTTGTGACTTGTGAGTAACATTTTGTCCTTCAGTTGTAAGTAATGCTTTCCTTGTTTTTCTTCTTATTCTATCTTTATTTGCTTGTCGTTTGAGGAAAATTTAAGTTTTCTTGTAAATCACTCCAACAGAGCAAAAAATTCTATGGGCCTTGCTCTTATGATGTTTTTATTAGTATTACAAGTCTACTTGGAAGAAAGAAGCCTTGATTTTGCAAGCAATGCCAAAAAGAACTCCGCTAATTTTATTCATCATGAAAATAAAATGATTATGAAGTTAAAATAAGTAGTAAGACTAATCATTGTAAATTTCAATAAATCTTAATGCTCTATGATAAAAAGGAAATGGAAAAAAGTAAAATCTTTTGCAAACATAACCAAATAAGTCAAAGAAATATCTGACTTTGAAGATCAAAAAGTAAAATCTTATGAAATCAAAACCAAATAAGTGAAATGAATATCTGATTTTGAAGATCACTGTTGTCGTTTGGTGTACCAACTCAGGAGGTATATCTGTGAATAATGCCATGAAAAGTAATATTGAAAAATGGTAAATCAAGATCATAAAACTGCATCACATCTTGTCCTCCATTTTCTGATGCAAGTTGACTAGGAGACAGGACAACAAAGATGACAGATAAAAAAATGAGTAGATGGATAAAGATTAAGAAGAAAAATTGGGCGGTTGCAATTCCAATAGTTTTGTTTGGGCATCATACGTGGAACAAGGCATGAATTTCACATCTATCGGAGAAAGATGTGTTTCTTCATCAAAATAACATAACCTCCATGAAGTGCATTATGAGCTATTATATGGAGTTCCTTCAACCCAAAGAAATATCCTCCAATCAAAAAAGTGTCCAAAATATTCCTTGCCTAACTAACGAGATTTGCTATTCTAACAAAATAATGAAATTTTATTCCTTGATTAATTGACAGGATACTGCATCTGGCTTGCTGTAGCTTAATTTATACATATAAATTCTCTAAAAGTCCACCTGACCTTGGATCACTCTCTATAGACTGGCCAGAAAACACGTCTGTGCGACATATCATGTTCGGTTTGCATGCTCCATACTTTACAATCTTTCCTTTTTCTGTCAAACAATGGGGTTTGATGGGTTGTCATCGTGATGTTGTATCCCTCTATTCTCTCCGTGCGTTTTTGGATATATGCCTTAGATGAAGGTACAATTATTTCAGGCTGATGAATCCTCTCAACGACTTGAGAGTTTTTGACTACCTTGTACTAAGAATGTTTAGATTTATTTTATTTACTTTAGAACTAAACTGAAAGCAGTTGCGATTTCATTATTTAATATTAATGCACATAATGTGAAGAATATGCTACTCATATGCTTTAAATATTAAGTGAAAATGATCTCATTATTGAAATGAAGTCTCCAATTTGATCTTATAGTTTTGAAATAGTATATCTTTCTCTGTTATATTGATATGTAGAAAATTAGATAGTAGAAAAAATATTTTGAATTTTATTAATTTTTTCTGTACAAAGTATTGAAGTATTTATAGATTTCTATTAAATGCTTACAATGAAAATAAATCAAAACTATTTAAAAAAAAGAAAAAAAGTTTTCAAGAGGTGTCGATGGCGAGAGTATGCTGAGGAGGTATATGGATTCCTATATAGGGTTTATATGAGGATTGATCCAATAGGAAGATCTCTTAATCTGTACTTTAAGGATCCCTATTAAAATTGGTTGACTTGTGATTCCCGCGATCCTTCAAAATTTTCTCTCAAGTTGATTTCCCGTCAGCACATTTGTAGTGCTAATCAACTCACTTTCTTGTCTATTTATGAAATATCTATCCACCTCTACATGATTTTAATGATTATGTTAGATTGGATTATGAGCAATGTTAATGACTTTTATTGCCATAATATATATTCATTAACCCTATTTATTTATTTTTTAAATCTTTTAGAATATTTGATCCACAGAAGCTCATAGATTTCTTAGGTAATGACTCTAAATTCAGACTCAATCTAAATGTTGAAATAACAAATTGTTTCTTGTTCTTTCATATTTTTTTGATTTCCTCCCAAAATGTATAATATCCTACTGTGGATATTCTATCCAATGGTGATCCTGTATAGCCTGCATCAGTTTGCCTTTCAATTTCTTAAGTTGTTTTTTAAAGAGAGCTCTTTTACCTGTTTTGATTTAAGGTTTCCGAGGATTCTATAAGTAGCTTGAAGATGGAACTCTTTGAGTTTGTGCATGATTTGATTGATGAGAATCACTGTAAAAGCGTAAATGCGAAGCGTGGATGAATGTGAGATAGATAGATCATTTGTTTCAGCTAATCTTTGATATTGTCTATTGTTTACTTTTTTTCCTTCTTCATCTGCATCCAATTTTTGACTTGATTCAATTGGGGTTTCACAAGGTTTATAATTAGTCATTTTTATTTCTTTAAGTAGGTCCATGACATTTCTTTTTTTAGAGAGAGTATCCCTTATTTTGATTGAGTAGTTTCTATTCTCTAGAGTTGTTTGAGTTTGCCCAATTTTTTGATCTAAGTTATTTAGCAAACTTTTATCTAATAGACTCATTTTCTCTATTATCATCATTTGTGACATTTATATTATCAACATATAAGATGATGATTGATATTTTATCATCATTGGAATTTTCATTTAGAGGATATGATCTTCTTAGCTTGTTTGTATCTAATTTCATTTATGGATTTTGTGAATTTGTTAAATCATGCTCTCAAAGATGGTTTCAGGCCATACATAATTTATTATAATTTCCACACTTAGTTCTTTGTGAACTTATAAACATCTTCAACATTGTTATGTAGGAAAGTATTCTTAATATCATGCTGCTTTATAGATCATCTAGGATTGACTATAAGAGAAATTGAGATGCATATTATATTTAGTTTCGCAATAGGAGCAAGAGTTTATTGATAATTAATTTCATAGGATTGAGAATATCCTTCGTCTACCAGTTTTGCTTTATATTCTTTTCAAGGTTGTGAAAATCGGGCAGGTCAATGAACTAGAAGGAGAGTTTCACGGTTCTACCGGTTCGACCGGTCGAACTAGGGTCGAACCGGATGACGTAATGAATAAAATTTAGATGATATAATCATCATATAATAATATACATTTTTTATTAAAAAATAAATTGAATTTATTCATTAATAATATCTTATATAATTTTAAACTTAAGCATATTCAATATTTAAATTTAATTCAAATTTAACAAAAATGTAACTTACGTATAAATTTATAAGTTTAATATAAATTATTATTAATATATGTTATATATTTAGATATAATTTACACTTATAAATTATGTATTAAATTCTTATTACAATTTTACATTTATAAAATTTTGAGGTTAGATTAGATCATTTATTATAAATAAATAAATAAATAATTTTTATAATACATAAAATAATAAATGAAGAATATAATTTATTTAACATTATTAATTAAAAATAAATATTATTTATATCATAAATAGTTTATTTAAAAAATCTATTTTAAAATATATAGTGTATATTACTATGTTGTAAACTTAATAGGTAAACATTTCAACTTTTTTAGTCCTACATCACTTGGGGAACTTTATCTTGATAATGCTTTTATTTTATATTGTGTTTGAGTTAAGATGGAGTAATATCTCACATAAAGTGATAAAACTTTGTGAAATGCTTTGTTGGAAATTTCTAATTTAAAATTAATCATTTAAAATTTAAAATTAAATTTTAAATAATACTTAATATTTTAAAATAATTCAAAAATTGAACCGGCCGGTTCAAGAGAACCATGGTTGGTTCAGCGGTTTGTTGGTTGAACTAGGGTTCTGGCCGGTTCTGGCTGATTCGATGTAGAAACAATTTTTAGGGATGAACCGGACTGACCTTAAGACCGTTTTACGGTTGAACCGATTGAACCAGCCAATTTGGTATGATTTTTAAAATCCTCATTATTCTATGCTTTCTTTTGCTTTATATTTTATAAAAATAATCCATCTGCATCTTATTGTTTTTTCCCCTTTTGGTGGTTTAAGAATCTCCAAAGTATGATTTTATTTCAGAGCATGTATCTCTTTTGTCATGCTATTCTTCCAATTCTTAATTTCAGGTGCCTCAAATCGAGTCTGTGGTATTTTAATGAAATGAGAGTTGAAGTCTGTAAAAATATTTTATGGGTGGGAGAAAAAAAGATGAAATTATGTGTATTAGGAGATGAAATATAGAAGGGTGTGTGGTGATGAGTTGATTATTATTATCTGATAATTATTCTGAGTCTTGAGCTTGCTGGAGATTTCAGCTGGGTATATTCCTTCTTGTATATGATTGAATGGTATGTTATTTGAATTTTTGGAATTTGTGTTGTAGGAATGTCAAGATGAATGATTGTTGTCTCATCAAATTTATTTTCTCGTTGAGAGTTCTCCCCTTGAAAATGAGTTTGATTGAAAAAGCTTTATTTCTCATCAAAAGTAAAATTTTTTTGAAATAAATTTTTTTGATAGGGTGATAACATTTATATTCTTTTTGAGTGAAGATATACTCAATAAAAACTCATTTGAGAGTTTTAGAATTATGGTTAACGTTGCATTGTTTTTGGATAAGGAGTTATGAACATACGTAATGCACTTAAATATTTTTTGACAAATTTTTGAGTGGAAGTTATTTTTGGGTAAGAATTTATCTATCTAATTTCTATGATTAGTCAATCACTATTGAGAGTATTTTTGTAACAACCTAATAATTACGAAAATTATTTTAAAATGAAAAATAATAAAAAATCTCTAAAATTTCTAAAATGGATTACTGCGGTGTTGGGTATTTTGGCGCTCTAGCGCCCTAGTCTCAGAAAAATTTGA